GGCTGCAGCGCAGCTCTGGGACGCGGCACTCTGGGGAGCCAGGTCCCGGGGAAAGGCACCAAGTCCCACCAGACCCTCAGAGGCACGCATCCCAGATCCTCCAGCGGATCCCGACACCAGATCCCCAACCCGGTGAGCCCTGCCGCCTTAGAGCATGGGCATGGGGTCCTGCTGGCTGCTGGGCTGCCCACCATCTCACACTGCCGGGCAGGGTAAGCCCCAGGGGGGTGTCCGGTGGGAACCCCTCTTCCTCGCTGCAGAAGAACCAGGCAGGGCTCTGCTTTGGCCCACAGGACGCACCGGTGAAGAAGATGTAGTCGAACTTGTTCTCCAGCAGCCTGGTGGTCTCCTGCACGCCGCCGGTCACCACGGCGAAGCAGTCCTGAGGCAAAAGAGGAAGAGTCCAGCTCTGTCAGCGTCTGCCCGGGCCACTGCGTCCCCGTCCCTGGGAACAGCGTCCCAGGCTGCTGGGCGTGCAGACACAAGCTCAGCGTGGAGGCAGGAGGTATGGCAGCACCTGAAACCAGGGCTGGGGGGGTGGCAGGGAGAGCTTCTTACATTGTCCAGGTATTTGGGCAGCTCTTCAGCCATGAGTCTTTCTGTGTCTTTGGTCATCTCCGAGGGTTTGACAATGACACAGTTACCTGGGGGGAGATCGAGAGGACGTCAGAGCAGCGACACGGTGACAGCCAGCCCTTCTGGCACCCTCGATGGTGCCTGGCCCTGCCTGGATCCTCCAGGCCAGGGGACAGGTTCAGCTCACCAGCAGCGATGGCCCCGATGAGGGGCACCACGACGAGGTGGATGGGGTAGTTCCAGGGCGCGATGATGAGCACCACGCCATAGGGGTCCTTGCGGATGAAGGCCGAGTCCAGCCGGGTCACCTGCAGGACACCCACCGCGTCAGGAGTGCTTCGTTCCACCACCATCTCCGTGCCCACATCCCACCCATCTCTGCCCGGCCAGTGGGTCTTTCCCCCCATCCTCTCCCTCATCTGCCACCTTACCAGACTCCTGTCCACGTGCTCGTCCTTCATCCAGTGGGACAGGCTGTTCAGCGTCTCATGGAGCTCGTTCTTGCACAGGTGGAGCTCGGAGAATTCGGCTTCGAAGGGCGGCTGGGGACACACAGCACCCTCCATGTCAGATCTGCGTCTGCTGCAGCACCGCAGCAGCTCCTATCCCTACCCTGTGCATTTTTTTTACCCAAATTTGGGTAAAAATCCCGAATCACAACCCCTTTTTCTGTGACGTTTTCACACCAGAGCGAAGTAGTGAGTTGATGGAGTCCAGCAGGATGGGCTGTTCTTTCAGGACCAGACAGTAACTGAGGTAAGAGCCTGCAGGGATTTAGCCCAATAAATAAAAGCTGGGAAGAGAACTGGGTGCAGATCCCCCCCGCCACCCGCCTTCACCTGGCTTCACCTTTCCCACCGTGGACGTGTCACCGGCGTGGGAATAGCGCTGGTGCCGAGGGCCGGCTCTGCCAGCAGCTCCTCACCTTCCATCGGGGGGGGACCCCCGGGGAACCCTCGGTGTTTGCCCTGCGGTTGGGTCTCTTCTCACCCGGGAGGGTGGTGGAAGGTGGATGGGGACTGGTGGGGAAGTGGGAGGTTGGAAGGATGAAGCCAGCCAGTGCTGGGGGCCGTGCGCCACCTGGGTGCCAAGATATGGGAGGAAATGTGGGAGAAATGGAACATTCAAATTTTTGGAACCTTGTTTGTGCAGGGCTTTTTAGCAGAGTGAGCTGAGAAGGCGCGGAGGAGACCCTGTAGAAAGCGCGGAGGAGACCCTGTCCTGAGCTTTGGAAGGAGAAGAGCAGGATGCAAAGGCTTCCAGAGGTGGTCCTCCGCAGGGTGGGAGGACAGACAGTCACAGAATGGTAGGTAGGGGTTGGAAGGGACCTCTGGGGTCACCCAGTGCCACCCCCTGCCCAAGCAGGGTCACCCAGAGCAGGCTGCACAGCACCACGTCCAGGCGGGG